GATCTCGATGAGCGCTCGACTGAACAGGGCGCTCAAACGCGTGCTGGAAGGAATGGAGGACGCGCCCGACTCGTCCGGAAACTGCGTAGGGCCGGTCTCCGCCAGAGCCAGATGCACCTTTTTCTCGTTCTGATCGTGGCATGTGGTGGACAGCCTCGCCACCATCTGGATGCCCTCGATTGCCTGGGTGCACAGAAGCTTCTGATACCAGGCCTTCACGTCTCAGAAGGTCTGAGCTCCGAGCGCGGTCGAACGCTCGAAGAGCTTTTTCACGAGCCCACCGAATTCCAAAACGTATGGAACATCTATGTAAGATCAGCCTCTGGGGCCCCCTCTGGGGCAAGAGGCTCCCCCCGAGAGCACCTCCAGAGGCCAGAAGCATTGACTCTCTTGCGGGTTTTGCACAAGTTTCGCGTTTACGCATATTTCGATTCCTGGGAACCCATAACGGGCCCAGAGGCCCCCAAGACGGCCCCAGAGGCCCGCTAAGACGGCCACCAAGACGGCCTCCAAGATGCCGAGACGGCCCCAGAGGCCCCCAAGAGGACTCCAAAGCGGGCCGCGACCCGCGGGCTTGGCTGTCTCGCTGCAGCTCTTGCCCGCCGCCTGAGCCTCGGCCGCTTCTGGCAACGTCGCGTCCACGAGCCATGTGTCGATTGTGAAGGCCTGACGGCCGGTGCCGCCGACACTGAAAGACATCGACCACGACCAGGAGCGGGAGGAGGAGGAGAAGGAGGAGGAGGAGGAGGACGAGGACTAGGCGCAGATAAGGAGGAGGAGGAGAAGGAGGAGGAGGAAAAGGACCCCCCTGGGACCCCCCCCCCTTGGGAGGAGGACCGGAGAAGGACCGCTGTAGCTCTTGCCCGCCGCCTGATCCTCGGCCACTTCTGGCGGCGTCGCGTCCACGAGCCACGTGTCGATCTCCGAGACTCCACGGGTCCCGCATTGTCTGGTTGCACAGGGTTGTCTTGCTTTTGACGCTAATGTTAAGTCGGGCATGTCCCTCTACAGGGGGACTATTCAGAAATCGTCAACAAGTAGTCTGGGGACGATTTTTTGAATATTTTTGACGATTTGGGGGCAGTTTTGGAATATCTTTAATTTGTCGCCCAAAATCCGCCTGTGGAGGGACATGCCCGACCTAAAGCTAATGATGTTATGCTGTTTCTGGTTCCAGTCTGAGCCTGCGAGATTTCCGAGACTGCTGTTCCTGTCTTTGCGTTGCTGTTTGCCTGGAGCTGCTCGACGTGGGTGACTATGGTTTGCTGGATGTGCGGCTTGTACGGAGCGTACATTACATGTGCCAGTGCGATAATCGGCTTTCAGATGATGTGTGGCACTCCTCTGACAAGCAAAGCTCTGCAGACATCACGGGCATTGGTTCGCGATGGTGCATTTGTACAAGTTGGAGGTTTTTTCCGTGATTGCCGCCCGCTGTGAGCTTGTTGTGCGTAGTGGAGCTTTTGCGTTTAGCAAACACACAGACATGCCGTCTGTATATTGTCGGTACCGAAACCGAAACTCAGCTGAGCCCCACCCTTCACCGTAATCATGGAATTCACCGAGATCCGAGTTTCCAAAGTTGCCGAATGATGATGACGTCAGTGTTCAAAGACGTGTGGCGGACATCGTCATCTTCGAACAGGGTGATGATCGAGCTTTCCCACCTCTCCTGCCAATCCTCCATATCGGTGAATGCGCGCAGACATTCACCATCTTTGACAAAACGCTTGGCACAAGGTTCGTCTCATTCGTGACAACCCCGTCCAACATCTACCAACTATTATTGCAATAGTCTGAGCGTGATCCTCAGGCCATCTAAGCATACCCTGATGCCAGCCTAATTTCTGTATGCGCAGTTCGTGCTTACACGGTACACAGTCTAACCAACGCTAGGTACGCTTACCGGTTCATGTCGTCGGATGGGGGCCCGTCCATTCGCGCTCAGCACTTTGTGCAATCGAACGAATGTTTCGCAAGAGTACGATGTCGAGTTCATGTTCATGAGAGGGCAAGAGGCAGAACGGTGTGAGACCCGAGAATTAGGCTCCCTAGGCCAGACAAATGAGCACCAGGCGTTGTACGCCCACCATTCGTGAACACAAGCATTTTTGGACATCCGAAGCTGCGGTCCAATCGTACCGACAGGCATCCCGAGCGGGCCAAGGTAGCGCGCATGTTGACGTATTCGTGCGCCGCCAAACGCAGCATCATAGAAACGACGGTTATCATAACAACAATTGAGAGACGGCACCAGCATTTGTTTCCTGAGGATCTGTTGGTAGCCGTACTCTGCAAGGATCTGGGCGTTCGTGGCTTGTTCGGCAGCCACGATTTCGACCGTTTCCTTCAGACAGCCTGAGGACAACAAATGAACGACCTTCACTACGTCGTAGTGAAGGTCGTCAAAATACTTGTTGAGTGAGGCGTCGATGGGTTGTGGGACCGATGGGCACTCCACCTGCATCGTTGGCTGAGGTGACCAGTGCCGCCACACGCTGGCAGATTTTGCAACATCCATGCGGAATTGATCGAAGCCGAAGTCTCGCCCATCAAAGCCCCGCTTCGAAGGTGTAGGTGTAACTGGCCATCGACCGTACATGTGAGTCCGTCGACGATCCTCCAATAGAACAGCACCAGCGTAAGGACGTAATCTCAAGACTCCGTTCGTGCGCTCATGTTGGCAGCAGCCGTAAGCACTGGTCATGCAGTCCAGTACCGCAGCGTAAATCACTTTCTCACACCCCAACAGGGTCCGGCCTGCATAAGGAACACTTATTTTACAAAAGGGGCTTGGCCGTTCCCTTAGTTTGCTTGCGTTCCGCTACCTTTTTGGCGGCGAGCCCCCTGTTGTTCCTTCGGATTTCGTAGACATACTTGGAAAAAAAAGGCTGTAATCTCCATGACGCGCACTGTGTACTCGCAGTGGCATTCTCGCGTCGATGGTGAGAGACGCAGCCATGAACCATGAGCGTAGGGGGAAGCATGTCCGAACGAAGCTGAAGGACACATACTATGGCGCACTGCACGATAGACAGAGCACATCCCATGCAAGTATCTACTTCCACCATCAAAATTAGGGTTAAGTCGTGCGTGTCCCTCTACAGGAGGGGTGTTAAAAAATAGACAAAATAGTCTGGGGACTATATGTTTAGTATTTTCGAGTAGTTTTGCATAGGTTTTGACTATTGCGAAGGCCTTACGGCTGGTGCCGCCGACCCTGAGAACGACGAAGATGAAACCGAGGGGGGGCAGGGGGAGGAGGATGAGTGGGAGGTGGAGGAAGGGTGGAGGAGGTGGATGAGGGAGGAGGAGGGGGGAGAAGGATGTGGAGGAGAAGCAAGAGGAGGAGAAGGAGGCAGAGGAGACCAGGAGTTGGGGGAGCAGAGGGGGGAGAGGAGGAGGAGGAGGAGGAAGAAGAGGAGGAGGAAGAAGAGGAGGATGCCAGAGGCTTTCTTGGGACAGCATGTGGCTCGATTGAGGCCGTCTTGGGCCGTCCAGGGCTCCTCTTGCGCCGTCTCGAGGCACTCTTGGAGGCCTCCTGGGCAATTTGGGGCTCTCCTGGGCTGTCTTGGGGCAGTTTGGGGGCCTCTTGGGGGCCTCTTGGGGCTGAGAGCTCGAAATGTCCGTTCGGGTCCCCCGGCTGGGGCACTCTCCTGGAGCCGTCTTGGGGGCCTTTTGGGCCGTCTTGGAGGCGTCCTGGGCCGTCTTGGGGTCCTCTTCGGCCGTTAGGGGACCCTCTCGGGGGCCTCTTGGGCCGTCTCGGCGCGTTCTTGGGGGCCTCTTGGGTCGTCTTGGCGCGTCGGGAAGCGGAAGAGGCAAGAACGCCACAATTGTTCAAAAACGTATGGGAAATCCATGAATGTTGCCTCTTGGGGCTCTCGTGGGAAAGCTCCTGGAGGCCTCTTAGGGGCGCTTTGCAGGCCTCTTAGGGGCGCTCTGGAGGCCGTTAAGGCGTCTTGGACAGATCGTTCGGCGATTCGGGGTTCTCTTGGACTGTTTTTGGGGCCTCTTGGCGCACTCTTGGCCCGTCTTGGGGCTTTTTGGGGCTCCGGGACTCCCAGGGGGGGCGTCGTATCTGCCCCCCCTCCCCCCGGGACCCCCCCCGGACCCCCCCCCAGGCGGGGGAGGGATCGAAGGGAAGGGGCTTCCCTTCGACTCAATTACGGCGTTGCTCAACTTCGCTTTGGCTGGCGCGCTGAGGAAGTACCTGGGAAAGGGGGGAGCTTCGACGAGCCCAGGGAAAGGAGGGAGGCAGGGAAAGGGGACGACAGAGACGACGACGCACACCACCACAGCTTGGCGGTGCACGTCCCCTCCCTCGCCCATCAAGGAAGTTGTTGGGATGTTAGGATTCGGAGTAAGTGTCAAGGGTACCCCACTTAATGTTCGAAGCTCGTGAAATGGGCTAGAATAGGCGGAGGAGGAGGAGGAATAGGAGGAGGAGGAGGAGGAGGAGGAGGAGGAACAGGGGGAGGAGGAGGATGAGGAGGAGGAGGACGAGGAGGAAGAGGAACGTGACGTTTCCCACCCGGTAACTCTGCTTCATGACATCTTGGCATATAACATCTTTGTGTCTTGCTGCGTGCGCATGAGGAGGAGGTTCCTTTCTTCCCCTCCCGTCCCTCCCTTCTCCCTGCCCTCCCCCTCAAAACTCTCAACCTCCCTCCTTCCCCAAACCTTCACCCCTCCTTTCCCCAGTATCCATCCTCCCTCCTCCGTTTCCTCATTCCCCTGTCCCCCCCCTCGTCCTCAATTTATTTGGAGGGGAAAACACAGACACAAGTAATCGTCGACGCAGAAGAAAGTATGGTAAAATGGGGGAAATGGGCGGGAAGTAGAAGACCCAGAACAGATGGGAAAATATAGGGAATCTTGGGATTCGTGCGCATTTACTCGTGTGTCCCTGGGCCCCCTTCAATCCCCCCCCTTCCCCACCTCCGCAGCGTGCCCGCCTGCCGCCCTGGGACCAAAACAAAAGACATGATGGCCGCCGAGAGGCTTCCGAGGCGCACGGGCTCAAGGAGGCGCGCAGGCGCGAGCTGCGGCAGTTCCACAGCATCTCCGAGGAGCGCGCCCACCGGGGAGTCTCTGGCCTCTTCCTCCTCCCTCCTCCTCCCTCCTCCTCCCTCCTCCCTCCTCCTCCCCCTCTCTCTCCTCCTCCTCCTCTCCTCCTCCTCCTCCTCCTCTCCTCCTCCTCCTCCTCCTCCTCCCCTCCTCTCCTCCTCCTCCTCCTCCTCCTCATCCTCCTCCTTCTCCTCCTCCTCCTCCTCCTCCTCCTCCCTCCTCCTCCTCCTCCTCCTCCTCCTCCTCCTCTCCTCCTCCTCCTCCTCCTCTCCTCCTCCTCCTCCTCTCCTCCTCTCCTCCTCCTCCTCCTTTCCTCCTCCTCCTCCTCCTCCTCCTCCTCCTCCTCTTCTCCTCCTCCTCCCTCCTCCTCCTCCGCCTCCTCCCTCCTCCTCCTCCTTCCCTCCTCTCCTCCTCCACCTCCTCCTCCCTTCTCCTCTTCCCTTCTCTCCTCCTCCTCCTCCTCCTCCCTCCTCCTCCTCCCCGCCTCCTCCTCCTCCCTCCTCCCTTCTCCTCCTCCTCTCTCCTCCTCCTCCTCCTCCTCCCTCCCTCCTCCTCCTCCTCCTCCCTCCTCCTCTTCCTCCCTCCTCCTCCTCCTCCTCCTCCTCCTCCTCCTCCTCCTCCTCCGCCTCCTCCTCCTCCTCCTCCTCCTCCTCCTCCTCCTCCTCCTCCTCCTCCTCCTCCTCCTCCTCTCCTCCTCCTCTCTCCTCCTCCTCCTCCTCCTCCTCCTCCTCCTCCTCCTCCTCCTCCTCCTCCACCTCCTCCTCCTCCTCCTCCTCCCCCCCCTCCTCCTCCTCCTCCTCCTCCTCCTCCTCCTCCTCCTCCTCCTCCTCCCCTCCTCCTCCTCCTCCTCCTCCTCCTCCTCCTCCTCCTCCTCCCTCCCTCCTCCCTCCTCCCTCCTCCCTCCTCCCTCCTCCCTCCTCCCTCCTCCCTCCTCTCTCTCTTCTGCTCCCTCCTCCTCCTTCTCCTCCTCCTCCTCCGCCCTCCGGGAGGTCTCTTCCGAGGCGGGAATTTATACATGACCACCGCCTGGAGGATCAATGTTTGCAGTCTTCGGCAGGCCTGGATATGGACATGATATTCTGGCCCTCGGGGGCCCAAACCTATCCAGATCCACCGCCCGCTGGGGCACCAGGACGTCGGTTCCCAGGAGGTGGATATGGATAAATCCCCGCCTCGCATCTCTGACCTCCTCCCCCCCCTTTTCTCCCGATCCCGACTGTTGGCATTTCTGGGGCGCTTCTCGGATTCTGGCGAGCAAGGGCCGCAGCGTCTGTGAGCGACCAGAACGAGCACACGGTTCTCGCGATGCGGCTTCAACATGGACACCAACAGCGCTTGCCACAGCAGTGATCGTTGGCATCCTCCTCCACCTTCCTCCTCGCCCTCCTTGCAGGCCGCAGCCTCGTCCTCCTTCTCCCCCACTGTTCCTTCTCCTCCTCCTCCTCCTCCTCCTCCTCCTCCTCGTCCACCTCTTCCTCCTCCTTCTGCTCCTCCTCCTCCTCCTCCTCCTCCTCCTCCTCCTCTTCGTCGCCGCAACCGTTCTGGCCCAGGTTTTTGCTTGCGACTGCGAACCTCAGAACAGTGGTGCAGTCGCAGGCCTGGTGGTTCGTGCAGTCCGTCGCTGCAAGATTTCTCGCCCCCTCTCAGGCGAGAGCCTTCCGCCTTGTTGCCGCCGTGCGCCAAGACACCACCGTGGATCGAATTATGAAGAGAACGACATACCCGCAACTGCGCGTTCGTTCTTCGTCCCTCTGGCATGTGTAGAAGTGCAGTTCTCCAGGGTGTGCGTGTAGCACAAACGTGGCGAGTTGGTGGTGGTGAAGACACTGTTTGCGTTCCCGAGTTGAAGTGCCTGTCGCCCAAGAAGGCCGCGTCGCCCACGCTTTCGCCGAGAGGAGTTCTCCTCTCGGACCCGCAGCCTTTGCTCGAATCAGAGGCGGCGCGTATCAGTGGCCGTCGGCGTGCTGGCAAAGGGGGCCGCAGCCAGACTCGGAGATCCAGCATCACGAGCCCCGCCCCGACGCGTTGAGAGAGATTGCCAGTGCGCGTCCAGCCAGGATTAAGTCGGGCCTGTCCCTCTACAGGAGGAGTATCCCAAAATATTCAAACACTTTATGGGGACGATTTGTTGATTACTTCTGAGCATGTTCGGAGTATTGTTTGAGTACTTTTCATGGTTCGTCCAACATCCGCCTGTAGGGGGACACGCTCGACCTTAAGCTATGACGGCGACCAGCGTAGATGGATTCCACGCGCGGCACTCCGCGGCCCCGTCGGACGGGGCCGTCGCGGCGTTCACATCTCTCTGCTCAGAGCGTCGTGGAGGCCGCCGCTCGCCTGTACGATCATCTCCGCGCGATTATGGTGTTCCTCCTCCCCGAGCCTATTGTCAAATCGGGGCCGCCCCTCTACAGGGGGGAATATTCAAAGATAGTAGCAAAACAGCCCGGGCACGATTCCTTGACAATGTTGGAGCATGTACGGTGTATGTTCTGAGAATGTTTGATCTTTCCTCCAAAATCCGCCTGTAGGGGGACAGGCCCGACTTAAGCCTATTGGCGGAGGCGGGGGCCTATCTGACTTTTCAGTTCGCCGCGCCGTTTGCAGCGGCGCCCGATGCGCAGGGGTGCCGTTGAGCGGGGGTTTCAAATCGGACGCCCACATCAGAGTGCGGGAGCCTTCACGAGGGCAGGAGAGGTCGCGCGGAGGCAGGTTGCGCGGTCTGAACAGTCTGCTGGAAGGAAGGATAAGGCATGAGTTGTTTGTTCGGCGCTGTGGCGCCTGCAGAAATTCTGTAAGCAACGATCAAGTCGACCCTGCTTTAACATATACGCGACGATCTCGATTCCCTCCCTTCGATCTCCAGACTGCGCGTGGATGTGTATAGAGGCGCTCGCTTTCTAAGCATCAGTGGCATCGTGAAGGGTCCTCATTTTGCTCGGCATGGCGCGGTAGCGGGGGATTCCTTCGCTGCGACCTTGGTGAGGGCACGCGCCACCCCAGCATCGATCTGTTGCTTTGGGCGCGTCCAGGACTTCCCCGACATCTACGTAGTTGACTCCGGCCTGCAAGTCAGTGGCGCGGCACGCGCCGTTGTAGAAGGCATCCTTCTGGGGCCACTCAGCTTGATTCGGTTTTGTTGGATGAGATGCGTTCTCAAGTTGATGGGGGCAACCAATGCCGCACTTTCATATTTCCTTCCCTGCAGTGTTCGAGTTCCTTCGTGAAGCTTGGGAACAAGTTTTTCGTTTTGACCGCGAGGGCCCGACCCTGGCTTTACGGTCGGCGCGTGGATTTTTGGCGCCATGAAGTTGTCGCTGCAGCGCGTCAAATCAAGAGGGAGATGCGCCCTTTCTCGGAGCTCGAGAATGATGGGCCTCGCCTCATTCTATCCTGTTCTTTTCAAGATGCCGTTGAAGGAAGGCGTCGTCAGACAGTTGCAGAGAGAGAAAGAGAGAGAGAGAGAGAATCAGGTGGGGCCACCGGCGACGGCCAGCGACTCCGCTATGACGTGGTGGAGTCACGGTTGCGCTCCTGGAAGGTCACGGCCCACGAGAGGCTGCATGCGCGGGCTCAGTTATTGGGCTCCCGTGGACCAGGGAGCGCGCGATGTGCCTGTTGCGTCCGGGAGCGGATGACGCCACTCGCAGATTGTCTCCGCTCTGCCTGCCACGGCACGAGGGGCGAGCTCGTGGGTCTGTCGATCCGGGAGGCCGCCAGATCGCGCGACGCGGGTGACTCTGCTAAGATTCAGCCGTTCTCTAAAGGGCCCTGTTCTTCCTTTGGGAGCTTCGTGGCCGCGTGTTCGTCGGGGGGAGTCGCGGTCTGCTGCGGCGGCGAGCTCGAGTGGGATGGCGTGCCGGCCCCAGCACGTCGGAGTCACATCGTCGAAGGGTGTTCCCGAGCAGGCTGAGTGTGCCCAGCCCGCGGGGACAGCGGGGATAGGTTGGTGATTATGTTCAGGCGGTCGCAAACACGGATCAAGGGGGCGTGGATTAGCGACGGGTCTCGCTTCCATGTGAATATGAGTAGCGTAGTTTGCTTTCCAGCTTACGGTTGCCGACGCCGCGTGCGTTCTCGTTGCCGGATTGCCCCTGGCCTGGTCGCGTCTTGGTTCGAGTGGTGCGGGGACGGTGACACTTGTTGCGAAAGGTAAGGCCAAGGATAGCGAGACTCCTTTCGTGCATAATAGGGCATGGTGTCGTTCCTACTGGAGATGTAAGGTTCGCCTGGAGATTAAGAGACAAGCTGACTTTAAGCTTGGGAGTACCCGACGCCTTTTGACCAGGTATGTTCGAGCGTGGCCCTTGTCAGTCTTGATGATGTTTCGGCGCTCGGGCACAGGCTTACCTTTTTCCAGTGCAGTGACGACTCCCCCTCTGTGTGTTAGGTGCAAGGTTCTCTCTTCGTTGGGGCCTCGTAGCGTTCCTGGGCAAGCAGTGCGCGCGACCGAGGTGGAAATACCGCGCGTGCAGGAGAAAAACAAGGAATCGCCCCAAGGCTGATAGCGTTTTCCTCGAGGTGGCCCCAGAGTTCAACCCCGAAGTAACCGGCGACGCCTCGGGCGATCGGGCCCCGCCAGTGGTCCCTGGAGCCTCTTCCGTTCTGGCCCCGCCACTGCGATCGGAGGCCTCGCGGTGCAAGCCGTGCCAGTGTTTGCGCAGGGTGTGAGTGGCATTGCGCCCACGGGAGGCCCTTTCGCAGCGCCTCTCTCTGTTGCACCTGCACGGGGTGGGCGAGGCGCCGCATCTTGTGAACGGTGGCGGGCCTCGCTCGCTTAAGGCCCCCCTCGTTTTTGAGGGTGGCGAGCCTCGCGCCCAGAGAGAGTTGTCGTTCAGATGTCGTCGCCGTCCAGTGCGTGCTGGCCTAGCGAGAGTGGTCGCAGCCCTCCGCCAAGAAGATGACGAGGTGCCCGTTGTCTTTGTCCCATCGAGTGAGGGCATCGAAGGGTGTAGATCTGACCAAAACGTTGTATGTTACTCTTTTATGCAAGTTTTCTGCAGCGAACCTCCCAGTGCACTCAGTTGTTGGCGGCGTTCTCTACCGTCGGCAGAGTTCTCTACCGCACCGCCACTGCGTTGCAGCTGTGGTGCCTTGGGTACTGCCTGCCGCTCTTTGCATCTAGTGCGTGGAATTAGCTCCCCACGTTCCTGGAGGCTCTGATGCAAGTAAGTCTTGTGCCAATCCATTCCTAGGTTGCGTGATTGCGTTGCCTGAGTCTTATTATTCACAAGGTTGGCCGCCAGTGCTTAACCTTTTTTCTTTCTGCCGCAGTGCATCTGTCCTGTTGCAGGATCCCTGGTTGTGTGCACAGCTCTGGAGGGCACGGTCCTTGTTCAATAAATCCTCCTCTTCGTCGTCGTCGTCCTCTCCCTCCTCCCCCTCCCCCTCCCTGTCCTCCTCCTCCTCCTCCTCCTCCTCCTCCTCCTCTCCCTCCTGCTCCTCTCGTCCTCCTCATCCTCGGCGCCGCGCGCCAGGGCTTCGAAGCCCGAGAAGCCAACAGCCTGGTTGCTGCTCCTGCAGTGCCCAACCGCCTGGGGGCCATCCACCCCTAAACGAAGCGCAGAGTCTTAAGTCCTCCTCATTATCCTCATCATCCTCCTTCTCCTCCTCCTCTGGGGCTTCGGCCTCTTCATCATCCTCCTGAGGCGGGGCTTCTCGAAGGCAGCGGCGAGGGGGATACTGCATGTCTTCTCCCTGACTGACGAACGCAGTTCTCAATGGTGATTCGAGTTGATTGAACCGAGGTAGCTCGTCCCTGCGAGGGCTCCCCGACCACCTCTTCGTCCTCCCCCAGAGCTTGGGCTTGTGAACAGTCCCTGAAGTTGTGGGCCCTGGGGTGTTGCCCACTAGCCTCGCTTCGTCGAGAGAGCGCTCCGGCAAGCCAGTAGTCGTTCCGGATGGATGAGAGCTCCCCTTTCGTCCGCCGCAGCGATTCCCCTTTCTGCCCGCTGCCGTGCCGCAGGGCGCCGACAGGGAGTCCAAGGACATGGACTTCGACGCGTTCGTAGAATTCTTTAGGCTCGGTCAGCGCGCGCGACGCCCTATCCCCTGGCAGCTCGCAAGAGCAGCGCCAGAAGTTTCGCATCACTTTCGGCATCCTGGGGCCGTTTCAGGGCCCCTGGGCCATTAGATAATTTTTCAGAGTGCAAAGCCAGTCCCAGACCAAGAGGTCGGGAGGTCCAGGGGCAGGCGATGTTTTAGAAACTTTCAGAAGTATGGGTCCTCTTCCCATTGTCCTGCTGCTGCTCTTCGTCCTCCACATATTCGTGCTCCTCCAATTGTTATCCCGAGGCCTCCGGCAAGTTGGATCGGATGGATGATCTGTCCTTTCGCTGAGGCCTTGGCGCCCAAGAACGTACTTCTTTCTCTTCTCTCCCTCTTCCCGACCTCGTCCCGCTCGTCCTTCCGGCGTTCTTGCTGCTCCTCACCTCACTCTCTCTTCCCCCCCTCCCCCCTTCCTGCCTCCCTGCTCCCGTTCTCCGTCCCGTCTCCCCCCGACTTCCCCCCCTCGCCCTCCCTTTCCCCCCTCCCCCCTCCTCCCATTCCCCTTTTCTGCGTCCGTCTCCCGCCTGTCGTCCTCGTCGTCGCCGTTGCCCTCCTCCTCTCCTGCTCTCCTCCGTGTCCTTCTTTTTCGATGCACGGACATGAGCTGCACGGCTGGTGCGTCTATCCTCCTAATTCTCTTGTTTGCCCTCCTATTTCTTTCTTCCCTCTTTCGCCCCTCCTCCTTCTCCTTATCCAGGAAAATCCGTGGCCCTGTAGGGGCCATCATTGCAACCCTGGAAGATGCGCGATGGAACCCTGTGTCTCCCACGGAATGGCGAAGGCCTACCGGGCCCGACGCCGTTGAAATATAGCCCGTTCCCTTCATTGATATCAACCGCGTGGTTGGCGATATTGATATTGTTGGGTTTGTTAATGACTTCGCCGAATACCTCAAGGCCCTGCAGTGGAGGCAGGCTGCTCAGCATTTGCACGGTGATCACTTGGCCGCTGGTGCCGATGTCCACAGACGTAGATCTCAGCTCCAGTAGCATCTCAAGCGTGACGAATTCGATCTGGCAGCGCAGGTGGAAATGGTCGCCTCGGGAGGTCAATGGCCCCATCAGCGTCAGCACGGTTACTTGGTGTCGTTGAAGTGCCACCGTTGTGAGGCCCCTGAGGAGTCCCTGTTTCATCGCATTTGAGAATGCCCTTGAAATGAGGACGGCCCTGCCTTTTCTAAGTCGGGCCATTTGATAGCCCAGGCCCGAGCGGGCTCTGAGGCCAACCGCAGTCTTTGGCTGCGAGGGCTTCCGCCCAACATCTTCACGTGTCCTACCTTTCGGGACGGGGGGGAGGACGTGGAGTGGGGGGTGGGAGGAGACCTCGACGCCGATCTCGACCAGTTGCGAAACATCGGCTTGCTTCTAGTTTTTGGACATGGCTTTGGTGGCCAGTTTAGCAGTGACCCTCGTCGTTGCAGAGTGGGTGCGGTTGCGATATATTTGGCGGTGGCCCCTGGGGGTTGGCTGTGGTCCCGTGGGTCTACCACGACCCTTGGGGGTCGCAGACAAACCGTGCCCCGAGCCGACACCCGCGCTTTGCACGGCCCTTGCGAAATTTGTCGGGACCCGTGCGTTTTGTAACGGACGGTACCGCGATCTACAGAGGTCGGCCACGCGCAGAGGAGGTGGGGGGAGACGGGGAAGCCGTCTTAGAAGCAGCCTCCTTCTAAGAAGCCCTCCCCCCTCCCCCTACCGCCTTGTGCGCGCCGCCAAAGAGGGTGGCAGGCCAGACGGCACCAGGAGTGCAAAGGTCTCAATTCCGGCTTCTGGTTCCGAGTCCGTGCAGCCTTGGCCGAGAGAGTCATGCGATCGCAAACCTGGATCAAGGGGGCGTGGATTAGCGACGGCTCCCGCTTCCATGGGAAATCGCGGATCTCCGCCGCCGAGCGAGGCGGCACCGGCCGCATTCTGGGGAGGGCCCCTCCCCCGATCCATGGATTTGGCGACCGCGCGGCAAACCCATGGATCGCCAATCCGTATGTGCGCACCCCCGAAGAGGGTGGCAGGCCAGACGGCACCAGGAGTGTAGAGGTCTCAGTGCCGGCGTCTGGCTCCGAGTCCGTGCGGCCTTGGCCGGGAGAGCTGCGGGAGAGGTCGGAGCTGCGTGGTGCCTCTTTGCACGTGGACCCCGAGGGCCCGTCCCGCTCTCAGAGGGGCGGCTTTGTGGCAGGGGGAGCGGCTTCGCCGACAGCTTGGTCGGGGAGGCCGCCCATTTTTCGTGGACTCATGTTTGGGACCCTCGTTGGCGAAGAGATTGTGTACATGCGTGCACGGTGAGAAACTCACGCAGGGAGAGCGATAGAGAGAGAGAGAGAGAGCGAGAGAAGAGACGGAAAGTGATATATACCACAATTCACACATGCATACATACATACGTCGTTAAACAGGCATACGCAAACACGAATTTAAACATAGAAGGAGAGAGAAACCGATACCACATCGGAATAAGTACAGACAGGGAGAGAGAGAGA